CTGCCTGTTCTGGCCACGTCTGGACCTTACGCCTTCCCAATGACTGTAGTGATTGGTGGAAGTGTGTGAATAATTTCAGGAAAAAAGTGTCTATAAAGGCCACGTTGGTATGCTTTCGTGAGCCCTCCCTTTGCTTGATCACTTCTATGTGTTCTGTATTCTCATTAAAAATATTTCTGTCTGGTTAAAATCAGAGTGTGCTCTCTGGTCTGAGTAGGTATGTTTGAGTACAGTAAATGTGATGGTCACCTGGCTGGTGAGTACCTCTGCTGCAGCTGGGCTGTGTGTTAGGGCTTTGCATGCCCAGGTACCAGCATATGGAACAGCAGGGGGTCAGGGACCATCTAGAGCATGGTGTATACAAGGGCACCTACGTATGTGTCTGTCTATGTACATGTCCACATACCATTGTGGTCTTCAACCCTGATCAGCTGTTGAGGAGGAAGAGGATGGGGTGGCATGCTTCTCTGGCAGGTAGGGAGACCAGCCTGTTCAGAAGAAGTAATTAGCAGCACAGCAGGACAGATATGAAACTTTGCAGAGATCCTCAAAACCATCAAATTCATCACAGCTCTAAAGACAGGAATTTTTCCTTTCAACAGTCTTATGCTTTTCTTTCTCTGGACTCTTGAGTGCCCACTGGGGACACAGGTTTGCCACAAAATATGTTTGCACTAATCTGAAAAAGTTAGAAAAAGTTCTACAGATTTTGAACAGAGACACAAGGAGGTCGTGCTTTTTTTTCCTCGTAAAGATCAGCCATCACTGGGAGGCAATATTAATCAAAGGAGTGGACCAGGAGGGCATGTTACTGCACGGGAGTTCCACATGGCACAGGAGCAAGGAGGCCACTGCGCTGCCAAGGTCTCTGCCACTAACTAGTGGGACAGAGGGGTGACCACCCTTGATTCTTGAATTGCTTCTCCTGTATTTCTAAAGAACATGTTCAAAACAGTGCAGGACATAGGATATCCTTCATATACCATCCTCCTTTTTTAAAAACAATATGAAAATTTTAGTTGCTGCAAAATACCACCCAAAGAAAGTCTACCTATCTTTGCTGCTCTGCCACTGGTGATGAAGTTGAAAGCTCATTTCAAAGCTCTGCAAGACATTACATCAAAGACAGTCTTTACAAGACATTACGAGACAGTCTTAGAGACTCATGCAAAATAAGCTTTAAACTGCAGAGAAAACAGGGAAATTTTTTACATATCTGGAGCAACCCATGACAAGTTTTAAACTTTGTGGGGTATTAGAGCTGCCGGTGTTCCATGGAATATACTTTATCTGTTATATTTGAAGAAAAGTTGTCGAGCGTTGCTGTCTAGAATTGCAAATAGCTGCCGGTTTGGAGCAGCAGCAGCCCGAGTGTGGTCCCAAAGGCTGTCATTTCATTTAGCAGCTGGACTGGGGAGAATTACAGTCACAATGTTTATGTTCTGCAACAGGCTTTTTAGCTTCAGCTAAGTCCTGGCACTGCAACCCGCACTGTCATACTACGGCTCATGGGGAGACGTGTTAAGACCTCACAAACATTTTCTTGCCAAAAAGGAGAGAGTAGGTTACAGGAGCTTTTTTTTTGGTTTTTTTTTTGTTTTTTTTTTCTTTTTCTGTCAAGTGTGTAGAAAGAGGAAATCCTGTTCCGTTTCAAAGGTTATGGCTCTTAATAGTAAACAAGCGCCTAGAAGAACACTGCTTCCAAGGATGCAGCTCTGTGCCTGTTAGGCAGTGCTGAGCTCAGCCATGCCTTCCACCCCGAGGATTGTGAACATAGTGCTTTCTAAAGGAAAACTAAGGTCCATACGTATAATCACAGGTCTCCAGGATCTGTGGCAAGTGGAAAGAAACTTTATCTTGACTGTAACCACAATCTTGATTTACTCACGACTAAAGCAACAATGGCAAAGGGCCCCAAGAACTGCAAACATCGCCCACCAGCTGTATCTTGATGCCTTTACTCCTCTGTATGTGTGCCCCTCCATCCCTTTCACACTGTGATTCCTGGGGATGCTCTTTCCAGGGCCTTGCTCCATGCTAGAGGAGAAAACTCAGGAGTGTGTTTGGTACCTGAGGGTTAAAGCACGACAGAGCACAAATTGCTGCATTAATTAATCCTGGTTGCTCTCAGGCAACCAGGGAGTCTGTGTCCCTTTGTCTCTATTAGCGGATCATCTCAATGTCCCATGGGCAATGGCATCTTGGCCTGTTTGCCCTTTTACACTTGTACCTCTCCAGCTCTTTTTGGCTATTTGCCTCTTCCAGGGGAGGTGACCTCTGGAAAACATTAATTGCAGTATGTCGCCAGTGATGGGAATGAAAGCCATTCAGAGGTGTGTCTAATAGGACTGAAATTTGGTGGTATAACCACATGCACAACCATGGTGGTTTTAGCAGTGCAGTTTTCTGATTTATCTGATTTATCAAGAAAGAGGAGCCACACCAGAATTACCTTTGATGGCAGAGTTTATGGTACTACATATTTGTCTTCAAGCATCTCCTAATACTATTAGAAGGAGAAGGAGGTTGGCTCTGTGGGGCAGCTTGTGCTGTGGCAATTCAAGGGCAGTGGCTGGCAAGGCAGAAACATGGGACCTTCCTGGGACCAAGGAGGGGTACACTGCTGGGGGTGATTTTGGTAGGGGTGGGCCCAGGTCACCCCAGGGAACTTCTCCCATCCCTAGTGCTGATGTGCTGCAGGGAGGAAGGGGATGGTTGGGTTTCAGGATTGGCTGGCTTGACACATGATCTTGGGTGGCTCCCTGCATCCTGACCAGGCAGACAACCCAGGTGTCTTCACAGGGCTTTTAATTCCCTCCTCAGCCCCAAACCTCAAGTCAAAGCAGTGTGGCTCTGTAATACATACCAAGCTCATTTCAGAACACTCACTTTGGAGTCTCCTTCTTCAGAGATGCTTAAAAAATTAATAAGAAGTCATTCTCATTAATAAGAAGTCATTCTCTTCTTGAGGGGATGGCAGGTGTCAGGGGGTGTAAATACCCACAGAGATCTAAGCCAAGCAGCCAGGCTGGATCCAGCCCAACAGTGCTCAACTATGGGAGCCCCTCTTGGACCATCTGGCCAGACACCAAAGAGAAGAGGTATCTTAAAAGGATTGAGAGCAGCTGAGAAGGACTTGGGGGTACTGGTGGATGAAAAATTGGACATGAGCCAGAAGGCAAATTGCATCCTGGGCTGCATCAAAAGCAGTGTGGCCAGCAGGCTGAGGGAGGTGATTCTGCCCCTCTAGTCTGCTCTGGTGAGACCCCACCTGAAGTGGTGTGTCCAGCTCTGGGGACCCCAGCACAAGACAGACATGGACCTGCTCAAGCAGGTCCAGAGGAGGGCCATGAAGATGATCAGGGGGCTGGAGTACCTCCCCTATGAGGACAGGCTGAAAGAGTTGGTATTGTTCAGCCTGGGGAAGAGAAGGATCTGGAGAGACCTTGTAGCAGCCTTTCAGTACTTAAAGGGGGACTATGAGAAAGATGGGGACAATGATTTTAGCAGGGCTTGTTGTGACAGGACAAGAAGTAATGGTTTCAAGCTAAAGAGGGTAAATTTAGACTAAATGTAAGGAAGAAATTTTTTATGAGGGAGGTGAAACACTGGAACAGGCTGCTCCTGCAGGAGCAGCCATCCTGGCTATGTGGGTGCCGAGGGCTTAGGCCCCCACCTTGCCCTTCACTCCCACCCCTCTGAGGTGGTGGTCATCTCAGAGTGGGTGGAAGGAGGCCAAGGGTGTCCCTTCCTGTATGTGGGTGCTGATGTCACAGCGGCCCGGCTGAAACGCCGGGCCCAAACTCCCTACTACCGGCCCAGGAGACGCCGCGACAGGAGCCGTGAGCCAGCAGCAAGTGCTGAGAGCAGCACCCCCAGCCAGGCAGCACTGGGGCCGTCCCACAGCTGCCCGGCTCTTGAGACCACCAGGCCCAGCACCAACAGCCAGGCGTCACTGGGGTCCTCCCATGGCTCCCCACCATCGGAGACCACATATTGTAACCAATGGTGGCCCCTTTATGTACTGGATGACGGAGAAAAATGGCCTTTTAATGTAATTAATGCTTTTCCTAAGAAGAAAAAAGAAATGGGATGAGGCAGTGTATGCTGATATGTTTTTTACCTTAAGAAATCATCCTGAGTGGCAGAGGGATTGTGGAATCATTTTGGCACCACGAGACCCTTTAGTGTTAGCTTTGGAAAAAGATCAGAAAAAGCAGCCTAGACTAAGGAGATGCTGTTCAGCATGTAGCATAGAACAAAGGTGCTTAAAATATACCAAAGAAAAAGAAGATGAAGAAACACTGCCCGAGCAGCTGGACTACCCTCACTGCCCCCCCTGCACTACCCCACACCCCCCCTCCCCATTACCCCAGCTGTTGTACCCATCGCTGCCTCCGTCCAAGATAGGGGAAGAGGCGGAATCAGGGGAAGCTTGTTTGTTGGAGGACGGACCTGCAGTAAAACTAAAATGGCAGAATTTAGTGGGGAAAAACCTAAGATGATTGCCCCTTTGAGACAAGCGTTGGGGCCGGATGGGCCAGCCCTGGTAAAAGCCCCCTTTCCTTCAGCAGAAATAGAGATGCAGAAATTGAAGGAACTAGGTAAAAGGGATCTTGAGAAATTGCTGGAAGAAGCATGGAGGGTGTTCAGAAATAGAGAAGAGGTGGATAGAGAAAAGTTGTCTAAGACTATAGCTGTTGCAACTGTGGCAGCCCTTGGTCAAAGGGGTGGACCTGGTGAGGGAAGTTTTGGGAACCGAGGTAGAGGAATTGGCCGCAGAAGTCGGGGAGGGTTTAGAGGTACGTTAGGCATGAATCAGTGTGCATACTGTAGGAAGGAGGGACACTGGAAAAATGAATGTCCACAGAAGCCAGGGAAAAAAGCAAGCAGACATAGACTCAATGAATCAGGATTGACGGGGACCTGGGGCGTCTGCCCTAGACAATCCACTGGTTAAAATAAAGCTAGGGACAAAAGAAGAGGAGATGGAATTTCTGGTAGATACGGGTGCGACTTTTTCAGTTTCAAATCAAGAATTGGTACGTATAAGTGAGAATTTTGTTAATGTAATAGGAGCAACTGGCTAACAGGAGAAGGCATTTTTTTGTGAACCTCTTAAGTTCAAATTGAGAAAACAAATTGGAATACACAGATTTTTATATGTTCCAAGTTCTCCCAAACCATTGCTAGGACGGGGCTTATTGGAACAATTAGAGGCAAGGATTGAATTTAGACAAGGAAACATGGAATTTAAAATAAAAAAGGAACAGCTGATAGAAATTTTAAGCTTGAATAAGATAACCCTTGTTAAACCTTTTGAAGTAACACCTGAATTTGAAGAAATTATTAATCAGGTATATCCAGGAGTATGGGCTTCAGGAATTCCAGGAAAAGCAAAAAATGCCACTCCAATAGTGATTGAACTTAAGGAGGGATTAACTTCCGTCCGTAAGAAGCAGTATCCCCTGAGATTGGAAGACTGCAAAGGAATAGAGAGCCCAATCAATAATTTTATACAACATAGACTTTTAGTGGAGTGTGAATTGGAATATTTTACCCTGTTTTACCACTTAAGAAACCTGATGGAACGTACTGAGTAGTTCAAGATCTTAGGGCCATAAATAATATTGTCAAAGTTTACACCCAGTAGTGGCAAACCCATATACACTGCTTATAAAGCTCAGAGAAAATCAAATTTGGTTTACAGTGTTAGATCTGAAGGCTGCTTTCTTCTGCCTGTCATTAGCCAAAGAAGGTCAAAATCTGTTTGCATTTGAGTGGGAGAGTCCCATTCTGGGAGGAAAACCCAGCTAACTTGGACAGTGTTACCCCAAGGATTTAAGAATAGTCCAACAATTTTTGGAAATCAATTAGCCTGAGAACTGGAGGCATGGGAACCTCCTACTAAGAAGGGGACTCTTTTGCAGTGTGTAGATGATTTATTAATAGCAACCGAGACAAAACTGGAGTGTATCCAGTGGACTGTAAACCTGTTAAATTTTCTTGGACTAAATGGGTATCAAGTCTCTTGACAGAAGGCCCAGATGGTTGAACTGCAAGTAACCTAGCTGGGATATGAGATCGCCGGAGGACAGCGAGAGCTGGGGACTGAAAGGAAGGAAGCTATCTGCAAGACCCCACCACCTCAGAGGTAGAAGAAATCAGGACTTTTCTAGGAATGACAGGTTGGTGTTGATTGTGGATTTATAACAATGGAATGATAGTAAAGCCTTCTTACAAACTTTTGAAGAATAATCCCACCCAATTAGTGTGGATAAAAGAGGCTCAAAATGCTTTTAGCATCCTTAAGAAGGAACTCATGAGAGCTCCAGCATTGGGGTTACCAGATATTACCAAACCCTTCTGGCTCTTTTCTCATGAGAAACAAGGTGTAGCCTTGGGAGTCCTGGCCCGACGTCTAGGACCCCATAAGAGAGCAGTGGCTTACTTCTCCAAACAACTAGATGAAGTGAGCAAAGGCTGGCCAGCGTGCCTGCGAGCAGTGGCTGCTGTAATACTTAACATTGAAGAGGCCCGAAAATTCACCTTGGGCCAGAAGATGACAGTAATGGTCTCTCACACTGTATCTGCAGTCTTGGAACAAAAGGGAAATCACTGGCTCTCTCCATCTAGGTTCCTGAAATACCAAGCTATCCTTGTGGAGTCTGATGATGTTGCTATCCTTGGGGAGTCTGATGATGTTGTAATAGAAGTCACTAACTTTGTGAATCTAGCCTCTTTTCTCAGTGACATGACTACAGAGCCATTGATTCATGACTGTTTGGAGACCATAGAGGCTGTGTGTTCCAGCACGCCCGACCTGAAAGAGGAACCTATGGAGGATGCTCAAGATTTCTGGTTCACAGATGGTAGCAGCTTCATCCGACGAGGTACCTGTAAAGCCGGATACGCGATCACCGCCATCGATAAAGTAATCGAATCGGCGCCTCTACCTATTGGAACTTCAGCTCAAAAGGCAGAGATCATTGCCCTAACTAGGGCACTAGAACTGGCAGAAGGGAAGAAAATAAATGTCTGGACAGACTCTAAGTATGCCTTCGGGGTTGTGTGTGCTCATGCGGCTACCTGGAAAGAACGTGGACTTTTGACAAGCCAAGGGAAACATATTAAACATGCAGAAGAAATACTCAGACTTTTAAAGGCAGTACCACTACCGACCAAAGTCGCCATCATGCATTGCCAAGGACACATGAAGGGTAACACTGATCCAGAGAGAGGTAATAGATTGGCTGATATTGAGGCTAAGCAGGCAGCTGAAAGAGACCTAGGGGATCAAGTTCTAGTTTTAATTCCGACTAACAGAAATACTGAATTAAGTGAACAGGAAGATGTTAAATATAGTAAAATAGATCAGGAATTAATATCAGAACTTTGGGAAAAGGTCTCTTCTAAAGGATGGGCACAAACAAAAGATGGGAAAATAATACTACCCTCTGCCTTGATTTGGGGTCTGGTTAAAGCAGAACATGATAAAACGCATTGGGGGGTGGATGCACTATATAAATATCTAAATCAAAAATGGATAGGGAGAAATTTGTATACTACTGTTCAACAGGTAACATGACAATGTGAAATATGTCTAAAGAATAATCCTGATACAGGAAATCGGGCACAATTGGGCACAATTGGAAAAGGGAATGCTCCAGGAGAAAACTGGCAGATTGATTTCTCTGAATTTCCAAGAAAAGGGCGTTACTGATACCTATTGGTACTAACAGATTCCTTTTCCGGGTGGCCAGAAGCTTTCCCTTGTAGAACAAACAAAGCAAGGGAAGTAATCAAGGTATTGTTAAATGAAATAATACCTCGGTTTGGAGTTCCCATGGTCATTTCCTCAGATAGAGGGCTGCATTTTTGTGCACAAGTTGTTCAACAAGTGAGCAAGCTATCGGGAATTGATTGGCAATTATATACCTCATACAGGCCACAAGTGAGAGGAGTTAAGGGATTCTTAGTAGATAAGGATTTGCTTAATGATTACCTAGATTGCTGTATAGCCCAGGGGATCCAATTAATAGATGTTGCTTAATGTTTCTGTTAGCCATTGTACAAATTACTTGAAGCAAAAAGTCTTGTGGCCCCCTACAATAGACAGTCCCCAATAAGAATTATGAACCTGTCTTAAGAACCAGCTGAAACCGACCTTGAAGTTTTGGACAAGAGCTGAGGAGCAACTGAGCCTGCGCAAGAACAAGGGGTTACCAGCAGTGACGAAGAGGAGCCATCAGCCTTCATCTCCCCGACCCCCGGACGACTACCACAAGGAGGCACTGCGCAAGCGCAGATGGGAGAAGTTCATGGGAATGACTTCTTGGGACTAATTTTAAGACGAAGCGGGGACAGGTCATACATATGTATAGGCGTATTGAGAATGTATATATAACACTTAACTGTATAAATCTAAGACAAGTTGCCGCGTTGAGGTGAGCACGACTTTGGTGGGGCTACCCCCCGTGCTGCCCAGCGCTGAATAAACATACCTACTTTACAATCTCACAGATTGTGGAGTCCGTTTTCCGCACGTCACAAGCAAGCAGACAAGTAGAGAAAATTAATCATTTAATTAAGCAGCAAATTGCTAAAATATGTCAAGAAGTTAATTTATATTGGTATCGAGCATTGCCAATAGCTTTGCTCAGAATACGTGTAAAGCCAAGGGCTAAGGAAAATCTAAGCCCTTTTGAAATATTGTATGGAAAGCCATATCACGCGGGATACAAAGGGGAAGATCTGAATCAAGTGGGAGATTCTTATCTGCAGAATTATATTATATCTTTGGGAAAGCAGTTAAAGCAAATCAATAATAATGTATTGGGAACTAGAGCTAAAGGTTTGGATCACCCAATACACCCTTTTAACCTTGGAGATTTGGTTTATATCAAAAATTTTTCAGGTGGTCCCTTTCAAGAAAAATGGGATGGGCCGTATCAAGTGTTGTAACAACTTATACAGCCATCAAGATACAAGAATGACCGGCCTGGATTCACTATTCCGGTGTGAAGAGAGCACCTCGCAAAGGATGGACTTCTGAGCTGATAGGACCATCTAAACTCAAACTGTACAGGCAGAATGAGGTTTAGTAATGTGTTGATATTGGTAATGATAGCTATTGCCAACACATGGGAAGAAATTTTTTTTATTGTAAGCTGTCTGCAAAAGAATTTGCAGAAGGAACAAAGAAAGGGGGGGAACTGTAATAAAGAATGGTTAACTAGCCTTTAGAAAACCAGCTTTTAGAGAAGCTGACCAGCTTTTAGAGTTAGAGAGGAAGGCCAATTTGTACTAACCCTTATGCATATATCCATTGCTGACTGACTAACTACCACTTTAAAGATAAGAGTGAAGCAGAATCTACCAAGCAAAGGAAAGCAAGTGGAATCCTCCAATCAGACTGTGGGGCACAAGGAACACATGAGCCTAAGCAGGAGAGATAGGGAGGGAAGCTAGCAAGAGCTCGTTCTGTGGATTGAAAAAGAGCCAGGATGGTAAAGGGCGTGCACCACAGGACAAGTTCAAAAGTTCAACCATGAGGAAGACTCGGACCTTCATCCCCAACACCCACCAAGGACCCCCGAAGGAAGGGTAAGTTGAGCGGACTGAGGTGAGATTATGAAAGGAATTTATGTTAATGAATTTCTGGAAATAATCAGAATAACCCAACCTTTTCTCAGAAATGTAATGAATGAACATGAAAGCTGTAAATATAAGGCAAAAATCCTAGTGCTTTGGTGAGCATGTATGGAAGGAGCAATCCCCCGTGCTGCCCGGTGCCGCAATAAAGAATACCTGATTAATAACACTTAGTAGTTATTGAGATTTGTCCGATTCACACCACTCAACCATGTCCCTAAGCACCACATCTAGATGTCTTTTGAACACCTCCAGGGATGGTGACTCCACCACCTCCCTGGGCAGACGAGGAAGGAGGAGGCCTCACACCTCTGGAAAGGCAGAAGGTGAGGACCTGACAAGAACAG